AGTGGGAGAAAATATTTGCCAGCTACACATCAGACAAAGGACTGATAAGCAAACTATACAGAGAACTTAAAAAACTAAATTCTCCCAAAATTAATGAGCCAATAAAGAAATGGGCAAGTGAACTAAACAGAACTTTCTCAAAAGAAGAAATTCAAATGGCCAAAAAACACATGAAAAAACGCTCACCATCTCTAGCAATAAAGGAAATGCAAATTAAAACCACACTTAAGATTCCACCTCACCCCAGTTTGAATAGCCATCATTAGCAACACCACCAGGTGCTGGAGAGGACGTGGGGAGTGGGGGGTGGCGGGGAAGGAACCCTCTTACACTGTTGGTGGGAATGTAAACTAGTACAACCACTCTGGAAAAAAATTTGGAGGCTACTTAAAAAGCTAGACATCGATCTACCATTTGATCCAGCAATACCAATCTTGGGGATATACCCAAAAGACTGTGACACAGGTTACTCCAGAGGCACCTGCACACCCATGTTTATTGCGGCACTATTCACAATAGCCAAGTTATGGAAACACCCAAGATGCCCCACTACTGACGAATGGATCAAGAAAATGTGGTATGTATACACAATGGAATTTTATGAAGAAAAGAACAAAATGTTATCATTCACTGGTAAATGGATGGAATTGGAGAACATCATTCTGAGTGAGGTTAGCCTGGCCCAAAAGACCAAAAATCGTATGTTCTCCCTCATATGCGGACATTAGATCAAGGGCAAACACAACAAAGTGATTGGACTTTGATCACAAGATAAAAGTGAGAGCACACAAGGGAGATATGAGGATAGGTAAGACATCTAAAAAACTAGGTAACATTTGTTGCCCTTAACGCAGAGAAACTAAAGTAGATACCTTAAAAGCAACTGAGGCCAATAGGAGAAGGGGACCAGGAACTAGAGAGAAGGTTAGATCAAAAAGAATTAACCTAGAAGGTAACACACGTGCACAGGAAATCAATGTGAGTCAACCCCTGTATAGCTATCCTTATCTCAACTAGCAAAAACCCGTGTTCCTTCCTATTATTGCTTATACTCTCTCTTCAACAAAATTATAGAGATAAGGGCAGAATAGTTTCTGCCGGGTATCGAGGGGGGGGGGAGCAGGGTAGGTTGTAAGGGAGGGGGTGGGGGCAGGGGGGAGAAATGACCCAAACATTGTATGCACATATGAATTAAAAAAAAAAAAAAAGAAAGAAAGTAAATGATTAATTCACTTTGGAAAATAGCTTTAAGCTTGGCTGAGTGGCTCAGGTAGTAGAGTGCCTGTCTAGCAAGCATAAGGCCCCAAGTAAACCCCAGTGCCACCCCCCCCCCGCCCCAAAAAATGTTTTAGAGCTATAAAACCCGTAAGAAGTTCTGGAGGTAACAAAGACAACCTTGTAAGTCATGAAATTTGGTGACACCACATGAAATAGGAAATCCTACTCTTTCCCTGGGTAAAGAGAGGTTCCAGGCCTTTGACCCAATTCAAAGATTATATGAATATTTCCCACCTTTCTTTATAATTGGTAAGTGAAAATGAGTAGACAGCCCTAAACATTTGCGTGTATATACTGCACATGAGAGGAAAAATCTGTACAAAAATGTGGGAAAAACACATGCCTAGTTCAAGTTTGCCCACGGCATGAGAAGTTACCAAACTTTGTCCATGTGCTGGACAAAGGGGGAAAACTGAAATAATCATAAAAAGTGCCAATTCGGTATTTTAAAAGTTCACTTGTTTTCTCTGCCCAATTACATTCTGCATGGGTTTTGTTGCATCTATTAGGTTTCAATAAGCATTTCTTTTAGGATTAGTCATTTCTTTGAGAGTTAGTATCTCTCTTTTACAGTAGATACAAAGCAGAATAGTCATTGTCAGATTAGAATAGTTGCTAGAAAGCCAGGACAGGACAACTCACATGGAGATAAACTAGGATATGATATTTATTCTAGAGCCCTTGCAGGTTTTTCCCAGGTATGTTACTGGTTAGAAGTGGAATTTAAGTGTTTAAGAGGAACAAAATGAGTCCCTCCAATCCTTTAGGATCACTCAATACAATTAAGAAGGCTCCAGAGCAAAGAGATCATTGTAGTCTCTGTTTCTATTATAGTTAGTCCTTCCTTTCCAAATGCCCAATAAAGTAGGAGGAATTTACCATAAGCTACTTAGTATTTTTACTAAAAATGTCAAAGCTATTGTTCAAAACTATTAGTCCTAAGGACAGCTTAATTTAGAAAGCAGTAATAAAAGCAATTTTATAGCTTCAGGCAAAAACCAAAGACTATCACCTATTTCATCAACTTGTATTCTCATTTCTTTATCTAGACCCTATTTCGTTGCCTTTGCCTACCACCTCCACCCCAATCCTTTCCTTGGTTCTTGCCCTTGCTGCCTCATTCCTCCCCCTATCCACTCCTTTCCACTTCAGCTGTATGTCTGGTCCTTATTGTGTGGCCAGCCCCTATCTAACTATGGATTGTCACCCTCATAAGGTTCCTTTCCTAATGTGGATGTTTAGGCTATCTCCTAACGTGATGTTTTTGCCCATCTCTGCTGAAAACCTGTCAGCCACCAAGTGGGAGGTATGCTGAATACGAGATTTGTGGGCTGGAAACATTTTAAAATAACAATGTATGTATCTTCATAAATTAAAAACCCAGTGGGCACAGGGAAACCTAAAAACATTCCCATAAAAGGAAAATAAATTTGGGCCTTGTTTCTAGTGACTATAATACATCTTAACATGATGTTGATTGAAGAAAACAAGAAAGATGGTATACTCACAGGATACCTTCATCTGTTGATTACAAGGCTCACAGCCTTTAATTACTATGATCATGTGGAGCAAGTGGGCCAACTGTACCAAATAAATACTGAAGCCAATAGGAAGGCAAACAAGTTCCAGGGAATCCATAATTAATTGTTAAATTTCTGACTCCTAATATTGTATACTCAGAAGAACCACAGAAACTAGATTTCAAAAGAAAAGCCTAAGTATATTCAATGTCAAAGCCCTGTTTTTTTCAAAAATCAAAACACACTGATAAAAGAAATGAAGCAAAAATAAAAGTGAAGAAATTGTTTAGCTTAGAGGAGCAAATCTACAACTTTTAACTTTTCATCACTGAGGAAAAGAAAACAATAATTTCTCATATTCACATAGTTTTGCATTTAAAAATTTTTTCCTGTACTCAATTTAGGAATTCTCCACCAATTTCACACTCAGTAATTTGAACTATAATTTACAAGTAAAAAATCTATTCCCCAGCCTTACCATCTCATTATGTGAAAACACACACACTGTTCTCATTTTGATTCACTAACCATTGGATGTTCCTTTTGCCAGGGTTATTTGTATAATGTAATTAATTTCTAAGAAATCAGTTTAGGACTAAGAAGGCAGCTTACTGACAGAGTGTTTGCCTAGTGTACACGAAGCCCAGGGTTCAATCCCAGTAAAGCCAAAAAAAAAAATCAGTTTATGTTCTCAGAAGCTTAAGAAATGTGTCAAATATCTGCACATGGAATACAACCAAGATGTTTCTCATATACTAACATGTGCAGTTTCTTATAAAATCTTGAGTTCAAATACGTCTTAAAAGTCAAGTGCTCTAACATTCTAACCAGCATTCTAACACAAATCTACCTCACAATATTCCAAATATATAACTGTTCAGCTTCTGCTTGAACAATGACCACCCCCTCAGAGATGGGAAATCCTATTGTATAAGATAGCTCATTCCAGTTTATGATTTCCTTTTTTTCTTCCTGCAATATTGTGTTTAGAAAGATGGCAAAGAAAATGACTGCAACACTTTATTATCTTATGGTGAACTATGCTCTAAATTGTTAATGCATGGCTCAGGAGAAACAGGCAGAAGCAGATGGGTTGGCCTTTTGCCAATCACAGACAACAAGTCCACTTTGCAGCCTTTTAAAAAATTAGCTAATATTATAAAAGTAATAATTGCTCAGAGCATAAAATGTAATTTGTCAATTATACCTCAATATAGCTGGGTGTGGTGGTACATTCCTATAATCCCAACACTTGGGAGTGTTAGGTCTGGGAACCTAAAGGACAGATGAGTGAATCAGTGTCCCATGCCCTATGGAGAGCACTATGAGCCCTGCACCCTGAGAAGGATACATGGTCTCACAGATCTGCATTCCTGCACACTGAGAAGGAGATACATGGTCTAATAGATCTGACACTGGCTGATAGATAAGATGCTCTCAAGGTTGTTTCCCACTTTCCCCCATAAGGGGCAAACAGACCACCTCATAGAAGACAGCCTGAGTGCACAAATCCACGACCAATGGAAAGAGCCCACCTAAACCTTACCTTAACCCAGTAAAAAGCCTCAGCCTTCACCTCAGCACCAAGCCACCGGTTTCCGGGCTCCGCTGTACTACTGCAGTTGCAGCCTTTTCTTTCTCTAATAAATCTACCTGTGTGTGCACTATCCATATCTCATGAGCTTATTTGTAAGCCCAGCAAAGACAAGAAATCCACATCACTGGTCTGTTACAGGAGGTTGAGGCAGGAGGATTGTGAGTTTGAGGACAGGCTAGGCTACACAGTAAGACCCTGTCTCAAAAAGCAGGTTTATACATATCTCAATAAAGTTGAGGAACAAACAAAGCCAAGGCAAATTAACAGAAATATTGTGTCCAGATCAGGGAGGACAGTGACCCACTATGTTCACATCCAGAGTTACTTATGTTGTTTGTGAGGCTCCTCTTAAGGAGCTAAGGCTATTGTATGTGCATGTGTCCATGCTTGCTAGTGTACCAAGAACAATGAAGTACCTGTAAACCGTTATTATGCAAAATGTGGCTTAAAAGCAGACTCAGGTGGATGGTACATGGCACAGCACATAACAGTTGTGATGAATGCCTTTGAGCTGGTAAAGGAGGCCCAAGTGTGCTACATGAAAATCAAAAAAAGGGCAGAGTTTGAACCAATATGAAAAACTTTAAATACCTTTCACCTTCTAGCACTGAATAACCTAGAAGAATAGTGAACTCGATGGCCGAGAAGAAGTGAAGCAGAGATGGGTAACAATTTATGAAGAAAATCCTAAAAGCAATTCTCACACTGAGGGGAAACTTGAAACAGATTTCCAAAGTGCTACCTATCTTGAAAAAGCCTACGGCTACCTGTTAATTGTAGGTAAGAATATTAAGACAAGAATACAACCTGTTACTTTAAGAGCAGTGGGTAAGGCTGGGGGTGGGAGTGGTGTACACTTCTAATCACAGTTCTCCAGGCTGTGGCAGAAACATTATGTGATGGAGGTGAGCTTGGCTACATAGCAAGTTCCAGGACAGCCTGGACTTTATAGCAGTGGGTGAGCTCAAGAAGCAGAATTAAACTTCACATAAAATTTAGAAGACTCTGAGATGATTGTGGAAATGATGGGTGCACCAATCTCAGAGTTTCTAGTTTTTTCTCACTGTTTTAAGTGACAGCCAATTCTTACAGTCCTCTTCCCCTAATGTTCTGTGTACTCCTTGTACAGAGAATGCTGAAACCTCTGCAGTATGCAATGCTGTTTTGAGAGAAGGACAGATTTTTCTTTTTTTTAAAGGCAATACTAACATTTGAACCCAGGGCCTCATGCTTACTAGATAGGTGCTCGTCTACTTGAATCACAACCCCAGCACTTTTTTGTTGTAGTTATTTTCCTGGTTGGGTCTTGCGTTTTTGCTCAGGGTTTGCCGTGGACTGCAATCCTTTTAGTTATGTTTCCTATGTAGTTGGAACTATAGCTGTGAGCCACCATGCCAGGAATGTTTGCTGAGATAGAGTCTTGTTGACTTTTTGTCTGGGCTTGTCTCAAACCACAATTCTCCTAATCTCCGTATCCCAAAAAACTTGGATTGCAAGCATGAGCCATCACACCAACCCAGGAGCATAGAATTTTACTCTCATATAACAAGTTAATGAGATTTTTGTTGTTGCTGTTTCTTCTTTTGGCATTACTGGAGAGTGAACCCAGGGTCTCACACAAGCTAGCCTAGAGCACTGCTCTACACTGAGATATATCCTCAGCCCTACTGCCTTTTGAGACAGGGGGGTCATGAACTCCTGGGCTCAAGTGATCCTCCCACCTCAACCTCCTAAATTGCTGGAGCTATAGGTGTACACTACTGTGCATGGCTATTTTACTCCATACTGGCCTGATTTAGTGGTTCTATCCTGAACCACTAAATGTTTATAGCATTTCCACAGGCTTACAGGGGAAATGCTATAAACTGGCCTGGTTACTTCCCCCAGGCCCACTCAAAGTTCTGAATCAGATTGGATTAAGCATGTGTTTACCTGTGTTTTAGATTTATGAGACATGCACAAACATGTTTATCATAAATAGGCTATGACAGTCATCACCTTGAAAATTTATGCCACTCAGAACATTATGAAACAGGAATGACATAGAAGAACACCAATTACAATGTAGTTTTGAGGCATCAGGAAAGATAAGCCTTAAGTTATATACACATCCTGCAAACTCAGTTTGCAGCCTCAAATCTTGAACATTCCATGTTCAAGGATGCAATCAATCAGTTTATACATACCAAGAGTCTACCATGGACAAGAACTCATGTTGAAGTTCAATAAAAGACAAATATGCATTATGGCCTCCTTAAGTTATAACTATAGCTAATCAATGGCATGGTCAGGTTATAAGACTAAAATAACAAGCAGTGGCTTTTACATAATTTTTTTTTGGTGGTACTAGAGTTTGAACCGAGGGCTTCACGCTTACTTGTAAGCAAATGCTCTGCTGCTTGAGCCACACTTCCAGCCCTTTATGCTCTGGTTATTTTGGAGTGTTGCTTTTTGTCCAGGCTAGCCTGAACTGTTATGCTTCCCACCATAGATGGAATGACAGGCATGCACTAACATACCCAGTTATATAATTCTTACAAAATCTATATGTTAGGCAATAAAATTAAAACTCCTTCAATAGTGTCTTCAATAGTGGTATGTGAAAATAAAAACCACGTCAGTCATTAACATAAAACTATCACATCAAAGGAAGCATAAAGTAGAGGAAATTTTACTAATGTCAAGTGATGACACTAGCTCTGAAGGATTTCATCTTCTGAGAGAGGTTAACTACAGGAGCAGCCTATTTAGGACTGGCAACATTTGCTTGGTCAAAATGTTTTTCTACAAGTTAGTAAGATGTATTAGAAATTTAAGCTTTCAGGTAAAAATGGTTGCTTTTTAAAATTATAAATGCCCCCACCCCCCCACCCCACCAGACACACACGATGTTGCTGGGGATCAAACCCAGGCTAAAGAAGTACTCTTCTGCTGAATCATATCACCAGCCCTAAACTTAAATTTTAAAAATCCTTAAAGGTAGGCCGGTGGAATGCCTCAGTGGTAGAGTGCCTGCCTAGCAAGTGTTAGGCCCTGAGTTCAAACCCAAGTACTATCAAGAAAAAAAAAAACTCCTCAAAGGTCATATTACAACCAAATAGACAGCTCTAGCAAATTAATGAGAGCAATGTAAAATGACAATGTTGTGGTATTTTAGAATACTGTCTCAATATCATAGAAAAACAGCTTGCAAATTACCAATTTTTTCTCATTTCTTTTGGTATACATAAAGAAATGAAAAGAATGAATGAACTACCAAAAAGTAAAAACCCCGCAGCATATATTTGAAGCAGGAGAAAATCTGAAGGTTGACTGTAGGCATAGTGGTACCATCACAGATCCCCAATCAACCTAACTGCCTTTCTAAGAACCAGACAGCAAAGAGCTTTTTGATTGGTTGTTTATTTAACTATCCAGCATGATGGGAAGATAAATGGTTCAGTTAAAAAAAAAAAAAAAGGGGTAAACCGGAAAAAATTTTGCATATTTTAGGGTTTGCAACTGAGCTATATGCTAAGTAAATGAAGAAAAAAGACTTGACTTACCTGCACTGCCAAGCTGTTTATAAAACCTGTACTCTAAATGAAGCTGTGGAGCACGTGATTTTATTGGTTCCTGAAACCCAAGAAGAAAAACTATGATCAAATTTAGACAAATGGGATTTTTTCCATTCTTAGATTTTCAGAGTAAAACTTAATGTTTTAGAGATCATTATCCACATGATAGGTTTTCTTACCACAATTTGTCTTTGAAAGCACAGCTAAGAAGACGAGCTGGATTACACAAACCCTTTTCATAATAAAAACAGACTCCATGAGCCATCATTCAAGGATAGCGCCCTCAGTATGAAACACTCTCCTGAGATACAATTCTCTTAGGAAAACTGGACGTCAAATCTTTAAAAATAAATTTTAAAAAGTATGTACTTCTTGCATGTTTAATTATGAATTCTGGGTAGTAAAATTTTCAATCTCATTATTCTTGGAAAAATAATGCATTCTAAAAATGTTCAAATCCACAAAAATTAGGAAGTAAAAATAATCTGAGATTCTGCCATTTTAAAGACAGCCACTAATAACATTTTAGCAAATATTTATGCAAATATTTCTTTTGTGGGGTGTTTATACATACTATAGACTCATGAACAAAACGAATATATATTTATAAAAAGGAGATCAGACTATATTATGTGCTTAGTAATGTGCTTCTGAATTCAACAATATGATGGTGCCATATTTCCATGACAGTAAGCAAATTATGAAAATTTTATGATATAAAGTATTCCTGTGTGCATGTCATTTATCAGTTTGCAGTATTATAAATAATGTTGCTAGGAACATCCATATTTTTTTTATTGTTATAAAGATTAAAGACTGTAAATGCAATTTAAATATGAACCTTCAATTGATGTGGTGTTCAAATTTCTAAAAATGAAAGTTTTGGTTTTTGTGAGGGGAATGAGGCTCATTTTCCCTTTTCTCTTAGTGTGTATTAATTATATTTAAAAAACAGGTTTCCTTATGACACTCTTATATATGTATGTAATGTACTTTGATCATATTCACCTCCCCCCATTATCCTTTTGTCCCCTCTCCTGCTGTTCCCCTTTCACTTCTGAAATAATCCCTTTCTACTTTCATGTCATTAGAAAAAAAAATCTACATTCTACATGACAGAAAATATGATATTTGTTTTTCTGAGTATGGCTGATAAAAATAGGAGCTTTCTAAATATCCCAGAGATAAAGCAGGCAAACAACCACACTTTGGTCTATGCCAAACTTCAAGAACTGCTTGGTTAATTACTCTGAAGTAAGTGCAGCAAGCAAATGGCTAATGAGGCAATGAAATATTACCCTAAGAGACAGGGGTTCCTGGCTCTTTTGTATAAAAACGATAGGCAAAATCATCACAAAGTTACTGTGATCTCTTGAAAAAAAAAAACAAAAAAAAAACTGAACAGCAAGTCAAGCATGGTGGTAGATACCTGTAATCTCAATACTTGCAAGGGCTAAGGCAGGAGGCCAGTTTGAGACTACCTGAGCTACATAGTGAAAAAAAAAAACCCTCAACATCTACACATCTGTTAGAGTGGCTGTTTTAAACAACAACAAAAAAAGTGTTTATGAATGTGGTGGAAAATTGTAACCCTTGTGTGTTGCAAGTTGTAATATAAAGTGTTGCAGTTGCTGTGAAAATGGATGTGATTTTCCAAAATAGTAAAACTCAGAATTACTATGATTGAGCAATTCCACTTTATATACTCCAGAGTTGAAAGCACAGACTCAAGTCTGTACCTGCACACCTATGTTTATAACAGCATTATTCATAATACATGAAAGGAAAAAGCAATTATTCAGACTTTAAAAATGCTGAACTACAACATGGATGAGTCTTGAAGCCATTATGATGAATGAAATAACACAGTAAGAATGAAAAAGACAAATATTATATGAATCCTCTCATATAAAGTATCTAGTATAGAAAATTCACAGACAGAAAACAGAATGGTGGTTGCCAAAGTTGGGAATGGGAGGGAATAATGAGGAGTAGTATTTGTTTGTTTTGTTTTAAGACAGGGTCTTACTATGTAGCCCAACATAGGCTTCTCCACCCCAGTGCTAGTATTATAGGTATGTGTCAGCATGCCTAGCTAGGAGTAGTGTTTAATGGGTACAAAGTTGCAATTGCAGAAAAGATGAAAAAGTTTTGGAGACAGATGCTAATGATGGTTGTACAAAAATGGTAAAGTACTTAATGACACAGAAATGCATACTTAATGAAAAGTTAAAGTGGCAAATTCTGCTCTTCCTTTTTTGTGGCCATCATTGAAAGTTCACTTTGTGACTGAAGCAACATACCTTTCCACATTCACAGGAAGACTGTGTCCCCTAGTTCCAAAGAACTGAGACAGAAATACAATGTTTGAGCCATGACCATCTAAAAGGATGAAGAAGCTCAGGTTTGTGAGGTTCTATACAGATCAGGAGATTGGCAAAATAGTACAGGTTTACAGAAGAAACATGTCATCTATACTAAACCAGGTACAGCAGGAAAAGACTAGTGACACTACATTGTATATGAGCATTTGCCCCAGCAAGGTGTTTATCACCAGGCTAAAACTTGACGAAGACCACAAAAAGATCCTAGAATGGAAAGACAAATCTTGTCAAGTAGGAGAGGAAAAGGGCAAATATAAAGAAGACACAATTAAGAAGAAGCAGGAATAAAGTAATCTTACATACAGTTTTCATGAAGAACTGCTTAAATGAAGAGAAAAAAGGTAAATTCTGGATATCATCCCTTATCAGATAATTTTATTTTCAAATGTTTTCTCTAATTCCATGTTTTCTCTCCATTCTTATTTAACATACTCTTGGAATTCCAAGCTGGAGCAGTAAGACAGGAGAAGAAATAAACAGAACTCAAATAAGAAAGGAAAAAGTCAAACTATCCCTATTTGCAAGATGATATGATCTTATAACTAAAAGACCTGGAAAACTCCCTAAAAAAAACCTCATAGAAATTATAAACACCTTCAGCAAAGTAGCAGAATACAAAATCCATTTATGAAAATTAGTAGCTTTTCCATATATCAACAACGAACAGAGAAAGAATATAGGAAAATAATTTCATTTACAATAGCCTAAAAAAAACCCAACCAATCAAACAAACAAAAAAACCTAGGAATGAACTTAATAAAGGAAGTGAAAGACCTCTACAGTGAAAACTATAAACCACTGAAGACAGAAATTGAAGAACACTACAGAAGATAGAAAGATCTCTCGTGCCCATGGATTGGCAGAATCAACAATGTGAAAATAGCTATAATACCAAAACCAATATACATGTTCAATGCAATCCCCATCAGAATTCCAATGACATTCATGATATTGAACAAATCAACCCTAAAGCTCATTCAGAAGCACAAGGCAATACTGAGTAAAAAGAACAATGATGGAGGTATCACAATACCAGAGTTCAAACTATACTACAGAGCCATAGCAATAAAAACAGTATGATACTGGCACAAAAACAGGTATGAAGACCAGTGGAAAAGAACAGAAGACTCAGCTACAAATCCTCACAACTATTATACCCACCTGATTTTTAACAAAGGTGCTCAAAATACAATGGACAAAAAGACATCCTCTTCAACAAATGTTCCTGGGAAAACTGGATTATCTGCATGCAGAAAACTAAAACTGAATCAATGCCTTTCACCTTGTGTTCAAGAATCAACTCAAAGTGGATTAAGGACCTTAACATAAGACCTGAAACGTTGAAGCAAGTACAGGAAAGAGCAGGAAATACACTGGAATTACAGGCATAGGCAATAACTTCCTAAAGAGAACTCAAATGGCCCAGCAACTAAGAGAAAGGATTGACAAATGGGACTATATGAAACCAAAAAGTTTCTGTACAAAAAAAAAGAAATGGTCATCAGATTGAAGAGGCAGCCCACAAAACGGAAGAAAATCTTTGCCAGCTATGCATCTGGCAATGGTGGAATCCAGCTATGGTAGAAATATTATATACTAATGTATGAAAATGGAACAATGACACCTGTTGGAACTATTCTAAGAAGGGGGGATGGTAGGTAAATATAATGATGGAGGGTGTGAATCTAACTAAGACATATTGTAAGAACTTTTATAAATGTCACAATGTACCCTGAGTACAACAATAATATCCTAATAAAAAATAAATTTAAAAACTGCTTAAATGAAAAGAAAAAAGGAAATTCTGGATATCATTCTTTATCAGATAGTATTATTTTTGAAAGTTTTCCCTTATTCTATGCTGCCTTTTCATTCTGTTAATTGTCTTTGGATGCACAGAAGTTTAAACTTCTGTTGAAGTTCAATTTTTAATTTTTTATTGTTATTGCTTGTTATTTTGGTGTCATAACCAATAAACCACTACCAAATCCAATGTCATAGTGTTTTCCCCCTGTATTCTGCTAAGCGCTGCATAGTTCAGATCTTATGTTTAGGTCTTTGATTCACTGAGAGTTTATTTTTGTGCATGACATAGGTAATGGTCCAACTTCATTGCATGTAGATAGCCAGTTTCCCCAGAACCATTTGTTGGAAAGAATGAGCTTTCTCCACTAAGTGGTTATTTGTTGCATTTATCCAAGCAAGGAAATTTCACAATTTCCCTTGATAATTCATGCTGGGGTTTAAAAAGTTACATGGTTTATATTTAAATTTAATTTAACTCTTACTAGGTAAACTTGCCTATTTCTCTTATGTCCTGATTAACAAGATAAAATAGTTCCCTGATAACCTGTGAATACTGTAATAGTGACCTTCAAAAAACAAAACTACACAATTACTCCTTAGACTTTCTTTAGATAAAGTAATTTCAGTTCTTTTAACCTTTCCTTACTGGTCCCATTTTTAAGTCTTTGATCATCTTTTTCCTGAATTGACTTAAAATTTTCTGCATTGCTATTATGAGTAGTGTGATGAAATTTCATGCCATCCCACTTCATTTGGGATATGAATCATCCCTTTGTTCAACATATCCACATTGTATATGCTGCCCACCTATAAAGTCACTTAGTAGCCATCTTGATTATCAGAATGCCTGTCTTAGAAATGCAGAGTTTGTGTTCAAGTAACTTTTATTTTACTTAATAATGTCCCTAAGGCACAAGAGTAGCAAAGCTGGCAATTCATGTATGCCAAAGAGAAGCCATAAAATACACCCTTCAAGTGAAAAGGAGAAAGTTCTCTACTTAGTAAGAAAAAAAAACTGTGTACACCAGGCCTGGTGGCACATACCTATAATATCAGCACTTGGGAAGGTGAGCAGGAGGATTTGAGTTCAAGGCCAGCCTTGTTACCCAGCAAGCCCCTGTTTCAAAGACCAAAAAGTATGCAAAGTTGCTAAGATCTATGGCAAGAATGAATCTTTTCTCTGTGAAAAGGAAAAATAAATCCATGAAAGATGTGCTGCTACAGTTTAAGCTGTAAACTTTCTGACTGCAGTGCATAAGTGCTTAAATAAGGCATCAAATCACAGGATTCTGTGCTATCTGCAATTTTCAAGCAACCACTGGGAGTCTTAAAACATATTATACCACAAGGATAAGGGGAAAGGGGAACAACTATGTTGACTTCTTTCCCTTTTTATCCCTTGGGACTTTCCTCCAGGAGTTATTTAGTTTTTGTTTTAAATTTTTCTGCTCCCTCTTCAGGCTTACATCATGTTGAGCTCAGATGGCTTTATATTTTCCTCACCAGCTGTCCTCTGTACAATATTCTAATACTCTCTCTTTCTCCCCCTCATGCCCCCCCCAAAACATTGTAAACATTAATAGGAAATACTCAATATGATATTGGGAAAAGAAGTAAATTAAAAAAAATTTGGCCATGGATAGTAGCTCATGCCTATAATTCTAGCTACTTCAGAGGCAGAGAACAGAAGGACCGTGGTTCAAGGCCATCCCAGGCAAAAAGTTCACAAAACCCCATCTCAACCAATAAAAAGGGCTACTCTTTATTTCTGTGCCAGATGTTGATTTCATTTCCAATTAAGGCTGGCCACTTGCCAGCATGTTGGTGCACACCTTTCATCCCAGCTATGAGAGAAGTGTAAATAGGAGAATTGTAGTCTAGGCTGGCCCAGGCATAAACATGAGACCTTATCCCAAAAGTAATGAAAACAAAAAAGGACTAGGACCATTGTTCCAGTGACAGAATGCCTAACCTAGCAAGCACAAGGCCCTGAGTTCAAACCCCAGTATTGTACCTCACCTCCCAGACCCCAAAAAAGAGAACTCTAAAATTAGAGTTCTAGGGTTAAAACTGAGCATATACCTCACCTACATTCAAACATGAGGGGCTTTTTACTACCCAGGAACTTATACCTTTCAGGCAAACTTTTTTTTTTTTTTTTTTAACAGTTCTGGGGTTTGAGGGCCTAAACCTTGAGTCACTCCACCAGCTCTTTTTTGTGATGGTGTTTTTTAAGATAGGGTCTCATGAACTATTTACCCAGGCTGGCTTTGAACTTCAGTCCTCCTGATCTCTGTCTCTTGAATAGCTAGGATTATAGGCCTGAGCCCATGGGTGCCTGGCTTGGGCAAACTCTTTAGCACACAGCTATAGCCTACTCAGGCAACTGGGGCTTCAGGAGCTTTCTGGAAGCACCAAGAATAGAGGGCTTTGCAAATGGAGGTGTGACTCAAGTGGTAGAGCACCTGATTTGCAAATGCAAAGGCCTGAGTTCAAACCCAAGTCCCACAGAAAAAAAACAAACAAAAAAAAACCAGACGGCCTTGGAAACACCTAGACTTAGAGAAAGCAGCAAGACTAGTAGTACAGAGAAAATTTTATTTATTTATTTTTCACCCTAGAAATCTGGGTAATAGGTGAAGGAGGGATTCACTGCACTATTGTGTTTACTTTGTGTGCATATGTATTTTTATATACGTATACACATATAATATAAATATAAATACATATTTATATAAATGCATACACATGCACACACACATTTTTTTGAGACAGGGTCTTACTATGTAGCTATAGTTATGCATGGCTCAAACTTAGGATCCTCATGCCTCAACCTCCTGAATGCTGGGATTATAGGCATAAATTATCATGGCCTGGCTTATTTGTATTATATTTTAAAGTTTTTAAAAATCAAAGAAACAAGAGCCTACAAGGAAGACCCAAAGTAGAAGTGAAACATCAGTAGCAGGGCTTCCTTGTATTTCTTTGCCAGATGTTGACTGCATTTCCATAGAGGGCTGGCCATGTGCCAGAATCATGGTTATTCTGGAACACATATGCTTGCCTGAAATCCTAAACCAACAAGCAGATGGATACCTTACATGAGTGTGATGCCTAAAGCAAATTTTTCAGTTACTCTGAAAGGAGCTCAATTACTATCTTCCTGTCTCCCTTGAAGGATAAGCCCAACAGTAAGACAGAAAACCCATAGACAAAAGTGTTATACTCTAAAACATCTTTATTTAAAACTTACTTAAAAGAGAAACACAGTGCTGAGACATACCACAGTAGAAACATGAACTCTACTTTTTGGGTTTTCTTATTTCTATGTATTTTCATGCTGGAGATTAAATCAAGAGTCTCACACATGTTAAGTATGCACTCTACCACTGGCTGGTGCAGTGGCTCAAGTGGTAGAGTGCCTACCTAGCAAGCATGAAGACCTGAGTTCAAACCCTGTACCACCAAAAAAAAAAAAGCACTCTACCCCTGAGCTAACATCTTTGGAACCTATTTTTAATTATACATACTAAGCAGAATAAAAGTTTAATGAAAGGGAAGTGAAATGTATGATGTATGGTCAATCATGCCAGTAATATGTTACATAAGCTTATCTGTATGGGTTGACTAGTATGAACTTGGTGGATGGAATCTAGATAGAATTGTTCCTAATAGAAAGGCTCAAAAGCAGTCTTGGAATAATGAAGGGATAATATAACAAGTATATAGCAATGAGATAGAATTTTAAAGTATTTTAAGGAGGCTTCTTTCTGTCAGTAGCATCAAATAATCAAGATTATTCCCAGGATCATTCTGTAGTAAAACAGAAAAAAGAACAAAGGCAAATGTACCAGAAAATACTCTTACAGAAAATCCTGTAAATAAAAACTACATCGTTAATCCTTTAGTATTCAATCTGTCAGGACATTTGACTTATTACTAGCCACATTACCTCTTTTCCTGCTCCCATTTTTCCAACAAAAATTCCAAGTCAAAAATAAAATACTGGGTTCCCTAGAAGCTCTGCCTGTCCACTCCTTTGTAAAGAAACCAATCTAATAACTCAATTCTTCACAAGACAATCCTAACTATACCACAAACTGACAAGTGGAATGACAGATGGAACTGACAAGCAGAGAACAGGGTGAGAATGTAGTAAGTACAATTCATTAGAAAAGAATAGTGTTTAGAGCTGGGTGCTGGTGGCTTACGCCTGTAATCCTAGCTACTCAGGAGACAGAGATCAGTACCATCCAGTTCAAAGCCACCCACGGGCAAACAGTTTGTGGAAATGTATCGCAAAAAAAAAACCCCAAAAAACAAAAAACCACACATCACAAAAAACTGCTGGCTGAGTGGCTCAAGCTGGAGAGCCTGCCTAGCAAGTGTCAGGCTCTGAGTTCAAACCCCAGTGCCACCAGAAGAACAGCATTTAGTTATCACAAGACATTTCCTTCAACCATTAACTTCTCTAGCTTGCAAACGATAAAGCCCAAAGCTAGCTGTAAATCCTAGAAAACTTTCTAGGAGAATTTTATTAGAACATTTATAAAGAAATTAGCCATGTGAGTTATTCCATGACTAAAAATTGTTTGAATCAACCTTAAGAGATAAAAATAATTTCTAAAATTATTCCTCAAATTAATTCTCACTTTTAAGTAAGATGTTATTTTCAATGACTAGTCATTCATGATTAGTACTGATATAAAGTAACTCAATTCTGCTTCCAATTCGATCACAAGATGTGTTCTTCATGCTTGACAGCTTTTTAAGCCCATGATTGGATGATCAGATTTGGTTTTCTTCTACTAAGTTTATTACTAAATATTTACATTTTAAAAAATGGATGTCATGTTCAAGAAAAAAAATAAATAAAAATTTCAGATGATTTTATCTTTTCAGACAGCACTGTGAAAGGTATAAAGTCCAGAGAATTACTTGTTCTTCCAGCTATTTTTTAATAATCTGGTTTCTGATTCAGCATTGCTAACACTTTAGTTGGCATCATCTAACAATATGTACGAGTGTGGCTCATCACTGCAGCACTATAACTGAACAAAAATGACTATTTGGCATCATATGCACAGAGAAAAAATAGTATTAGTATTCTGAATGCTTAAAACTATTTCCTGTAAAAAGATATTAGCAGCGAGAGCACCAAAACATAATGACTACAAACACAGATTCTACTCACCAGTTTGATTGCTACATACTCATTGGTGTAGAGATTTTTACCTAAGGGAAAAGCAAAATGTATGTTTAGTGAAATTTCTTCTGGGAAAATGCAAAGCAAAATCTTAGCTTACGGGGTCATGAGAAAGGTCACATTTCCAGTGCTGTTCACATACATGAAACGTGATTTATAAGTAAAAAGCTAAACAGAGATGACATCCAGCAAGACTAGAACAAAAAGCAGCTTGAGAATTATGTGTTAAGCTACACATGAGAATTATTTTTTAAGAAAAGGAGAAAACCAACCAACCAACCTTGCCCCCTTCTTCCTTCCCTCCCCATCTCACTCTCACACACAATTAATATTTCCTAACTATTATGTCACAAGGCAAAACCAGTAGAAATGCCTAAATTTTAAAGACACTAAACTCATGATGTAGGTCAGTGATATGGTGCCCACCTGGCATGCATGAGGCCCTGGGTTCAATCCCCAGAACTGCAAAATAAGAAAAAGAAAAAAAGGAGGAAGAAACTTAAGTTCTTGGTCTTGGCACAATAAATACAAACCCTCCTTCTACCTCACTGAAAAACTGGTAATTTTTATTTTTCATCCTTTACTCAGTGGCAACTTTAGGTGGCTTAAAGGACAGTGTCAAATAAAACCAACTACTGACCAACTGCTCCTTTTGTGGAACTCACTGCTACCTATAAGGAGATGGTTCTCAAAGCTGTTTCAATTGTTTACCACAATTCTAGCTCTGTATCTTTAACTACGCACAGGAAACAAATCTCCACCTGAACAACACTTAAAAGACCTCAAAGTTCCTTCTAAAATAATTTTTTTTATTATTCATATGTGCATACAAGGCTTGGGTCATTTCTCCCCCCTTCCCGCACACCCTCAAAATTCTTTCTCAAATAAATTTTTTTTTTGTCTCAATTTGTAGAAGTAGTTCTACAAATGGAATCAATATTCTCTTAAGACTAAGAACTTGGAGTAATGATGAGGATGAGGGAACAACGGTCAATTAATCAGCCCATATTACATGCGGAATACTTAGCTCCTAATACCTCTCCAACCCCATCCTTGAAGTCCTAACTTTCATTCCCCCTGGGTGTTTAGTATATACCACATAGTTTAGCTACTACACTGGACTTCATATTGCTTCTCCTATTTTTGCCTGATCTTATCCAGCTAAACTGTAAGTATCTTAAGCTCAGGGAGGGCTGATGGTGTGGATCAAGTGGCAGAGTACTTGCTTAGCAAACGTGAAGCCCTGAGTTCAAACACCAGTACTGCCAAAAAAAAAAAAAGAAAAAAATTAAGGGTAGGGAAAACATATAACACCTTTCTCAATGCTCTGTAGTGCTTAAGACCATGTATTACACATCTCAGACACTTAAAACCTTAACTGGCTAAAATTTATTGGTATATATTATATGACTACTGTTTAAATAACACAAGTAAATGGTACACTTTTATATGTACATATACATATATACATATGTACCATTTATATATAATTTTTATCTCAACTTCACTACTTCTATAAAATTATTTTTACAATAAAGAAAAACCAAACACTTCATTTTGGGAACAAAAAGCTACATGCAATACACGTTGTTAGTTATCAAGCTCTAAACAACAGAAAGTCCTTTACAATGTAAGTACACCATTATACTTTTAACACTGTCATCAACTGCTGAATACTTTTATGTGCCAAAGAGTACACTAATTTAGGAATAATTCTGTTAGCAGATTATGTAACAAAGAGGACTCACAAGTGACCAAATACCTAAAAAAATCATAAAATGCACAACTTTTTTTTTTTTTGGTAGTATTGAGGCTTGAATCCAGGGCCTCACGTTTGCTAGGCAGGTGCTCTTCCACCATGCTCTAACCCATTTTTGCTAAAGTTTTTTTTTTCCGATAGGGTTTCGGTTTTGCCTGGGACCAGCCTTGGACCAGGATCCTCCTTTCTCTGCCTCAAGAGTAGCTGGAATTTCAGGCATGTGACACTATGCCTAACTTCAACTTCTTTTCCAAGGGAGTACAAGGAAGAAATGGCATTTTCCCCTTTATATATTAATTGCATCAAGCTTCTAAAAATTTACTTTGAAATTCTCATTAAAAAATTTTAAAATACATTCTATGAAATTATGAAAAGAACAGTAATAACTAAAAAAGGAAGGGATGAGGTAATAAAAGACTCCTAGGCAGACTGAAACTTCAATTTGGCCTGGTGCTGGTGGCTCATGCCTGTAATCCTAGCTACTTAGGAGGCTGAGATCAGGAGAATCATAGTTTAAGGCCAGCCCAGGCAAATAGCTTACGAGACTCCATCTCCAAAATAACCAGAGCAAAATGGGACAGAAATGTCTTTCAAGGAATAAAGTACCTGCTTTGTAAGCACAAAGCTCTGAGTTCAAATTCCAGTCTCACAAACAAAACAAAACAAAAATGCCACAACACTTCAAAATTTAGCCCAAGATCTCTTCCTTACCAAATAAAATGTTGCACAAAGACTTTTCAGTAAAGTCCTTTCCTGACTCTGTATAAGCACTGTCACTGTGACCTAAAACCAATGTTAACAAAACACTGGGGGGAAGAGGAAAGAAATGACCCAAACATTGTATGCACATATAAATAAAAGAAAAAAAATATAGCAGCATATCAAATTAACATAAAAAAAAGACTGAAGCCTAAGAACTGAGTATTGCTTAGAGGAAAAAGGTCAGGTAATAAAGCTTTAATATTTCAAATGTTTAGGAATCTTTCTGAATTGTTGACAACCTCCCCTCCCTGGTTCCAGTTATAGCAATAAGAATTACTAGGGACTGGGATAAAGTCCCTAGACTAGCATAAAATTCACCTCTCACTCACTCAAAGTACAGTATGCCTACTAATGTTAAGAGAATTAACATAATATTAAAAATATATACTTTAGGGCAGGGGGGAGAAATAAACCAAGCCTTGTATGCAATATGAATAATAAAAGAAAAATGAAAAAAAATATATATATATGCTTTAAAGTCACAGATCTTCAATTCAACAGATACAACATTTAAGGTGAACTGAGGTATATGTGGAAGAGATTAGAAGAGCCAGACAAGTCTCAGGAAGGAAATTCTTTCTTTTCTCCTCCTTCCCCCACAAAGCCTTCAAGAACCAGTAGGATTTTAACAGTTGAGGAAAGGGTAAGGACATCTCAAGAAGAGTAAACTAAACAGGCAAATAAATGAAAATGAGAAAATAAATGATATAGGTTGAGAATGGGCAGAAGAGACTGAAGAAGTAAGATTAAGGCCACATTAGGAAAGCACCTGATGCCATTTTAGAGTTGAAAATGAAAGAGTTGGGGGTGGTGGTGAAATAAAAGACATAATCAGATCCATGATTTTTCCTAGCAACTTATGAGGTAGTATAAAATACTATAAAAACTTATACTAGTATAATAGTATAAAAATAGTATAAAAACTTAGAAAAAATAAGAGACCAGTGGTAGGGAAAAGTCTCTGTATAATCATGATATGATATGATATGATATAATATAACCCATCGTATGCTGATATCATGTATCTAAGATGAACAACACTCAGTTTTCATTCTCCAAAGACTATATATACTTTAGCTCCTGAAACAAAATCAGTCTTACATGTACTAACTCAAAAGTTTGACAAAGTTGGGGCTGGTGTTCAAGTGGCAGAGCACCTGCTTAAGCCACTGAGTTCAAACCCCAGTACCACCAAAACAAACAAACAAAAAGTTTGACAAAGTTTGTGACAAGTGTTAAAACAGAAATAGGGAGTCAGTAGAAGAGCTTGGATGATGGAACATAACACTTTTGGGCGCAATGACACTTCAAGTGAGCTCTAAAGGATGAACAGAAGAGGGAATAAGGATATTTCCTATTAAAAAAAAATGAGGGGCAGGGAATGTAGCTAGTGGTATAGTGCTTGACTAGCATTTGTAAGCCTCTGGCTTTGATCCCCAGTACAAAACAAAACAAACAAAAAACAAAATAGAACAAATAAACAAAAAAACAATTTGAACAATGATGTGAAACCATGAGAGAAAAGACAAAACTTGAAGGCTAAGGTGTGGCTTAAGTGGCAGAATGCTCATGATCAACACATCTTTTTATTCCTAGCAAAACACACTTTGACTCACTTGTTGAAGTCAATCAAATTGACGTGACATATCTAGCAGGTTCTTTTGAGAAAACTCTATGGCAGTAAAAAAGGCAGACTAGAACCAGATTATGGACTGTTATGGTTTGAATATGAAGTATACCCCCAAACTGCTCATGAATTGAAGGCTTAATCCCCAGCTAGTGGATCTAATTATTGAGAGGTGATTGGATCATGAGGGCTCTGACTTCATCAATGAATTAATCTATTGATAGATTCAAGTATGATGGCATTACTGGAAGGAGACAGGACTGGTTGTAGGAAGCAGGTCACTGGGGGGTATGCCTCTGAAGGATATATCTGATCCCCAGACCCTTTCTTTTCCTCTCTGCTTTGAAGCTGCCATAAGGTGAACAGCTCCACTCCACCATACCCTTATACCATGACTTTGTGCCTCACCCTAGGATCATAGTTATGGAGCAAGACAATCATGAACTGACACATCTGAAACCATGAACCAAGATAACCCTCTCCTCCCTTAAGTTTTTCATATTAGGTATTCTGTCACATGATGAGAAACTAACATATAGGTAATCTTAAACACAAACACAAGAGTTTTGTGCTAAGAGAAAAAGCAAACAACAAAAGTGCTTTGTAAAAATATTAATCTGCACCCAATGTATAAAACAGTTGAGAAAGGAATAACTAGAAAGAAGATAAACAGGACATTTTTATAACAGAAAATATAAAGAATAATGTATCTCTTGGAGCGGTTATGAGGATTATATGAGATAAGAGTACAAAATGAAAGTACTAGATAAATCTACTTTTTATCACTTCTATTATTATTGTAGGTATGAGGTAATAATTCCTGGAAGGACTAAAATAAATAGGATTTTTATACAAGATATTTGGGGAAAAAAAAGTAACTA